GATTCTATGGTCCAGCAAATCTGAAAAAGATTGGCATTTCAATCTATCTCTTTTCCTCAAGACACCCAGGAATCATGTTAAGTAGTCATCTGAAATTCAAGTTCGGTGATCCTTAACTGCTCATGTAGACCACCTCTCTAACAGTCTAGTTGGTTTTAAAGCAGTCTTCTTCTAGCTAACAAACTCTAAGATCTGCTTCACTCTAAAATGTAGTCAGTCCTTCCATGCACATTGAACCAAGTCAGTATGTTATGTGAGGGGTAGATGAAAGAGTCAACACTAAACGATGGGATGCTAACATTCTAATGTCAAGGGTACTCCTCTCATATCCGTCCCCAGAGAGGGGAGACGGAAGGGGAGATGAAGAAGAAGAAAACAGGTAACACTAGGTTATCTTCTCTTCCGATCTGATTTGTGCTCTGTTATCACTCTCTTGCCTTCGGATTGAATCCACCCAAATCAAAAACACTCTTTCCTCTCATCCCGGCCAGCCCACGCATCCACCTTGCTCCTAGCTCGATCTCCTTCAAGTTCACATACAACCCTAGCTGCTGGCTGGCTCTACGTCCTATTTACATAAGCTCTGTCGTCTTGGCACCATGTCAACGCTAAATTTGCCACTCAACACTTCCAGCTAGTCCAAACTGAAACAGAATATGACCAGAACCCACCCATTTTGAGTTACAAAACTCAACTCTGAAGTTTCCTCTATTTGCCATTGCCAAAGAAGAATTGTGAAATAAAAGAAAGAACAAATCTTCTCATGTTCTACAAAATATATGGGGTGAGCGTTGGAAGTCGTAAAGTGATATTTTTTTTCTCTCTAGTCAATTACTTGATATACTTATCAAGGACCAGGCTCTCATTCTTTTAGTTTTCTAGTTACTCATTCATTTTGGAGATATTCTTGTCTAGATGATTCTGATGCCTCTAATTTATTTTGTATGTCTCACCCTGAACTTCCTGGCCTCCTGTGGGTGACCCCTATAAAGATACTGTATCTACCACTTGGTTTATTGATTCTCAAGGAAATGAAGAGTGCATAGGCAGATCCCCTTCACAGCTACTTTCTAGGGGCCATGTTAATAAACTCCCCTTGGTGTAATTCAATAGAAGAGTTTGAGGCACTGAAAGGTGGATGCCCTCTTTCGCAGTGCATGATCCACAAACTACTTGAAGCTGTCAATGACTTATTGATAGTATAACTTTTACAAAAAAGGTACACATAAGATAAATCCTGTTATGAATCCTATTCAAACTATTCATTACAAGTAGGTGAAACATGTAAGAAAAGTACATGGAAGAGAACTGTTATCAATAATAAAATTAATAAAATTGATCTACAATAAATATTTTCATACAGAAAGGTATTGAAGTTTGGTCTATGATATTAATAATAATAAGAGTAGTAGTAGTAGCTGCAGTAGAAGTAGAAGTAGTAGTAGTAGAAGTAGTAGTAGTAGTATGTTTACTACTATTCTACTAGTACTACTACTATTACTACCGGTACTTCTTCTACTATTACTACTTCTTCTATTACTACTATAATGATGATGGCCTATATGAGGCTTCCATAAATACACATACCTCTCCCTCTCTTATAAGAGTACAGAGTTTGAAGTGATCTTTCTGGAGCCTAGAACTTACAGAAAACTTGCTTGATTGATATGATCAAATTTGTAACCAATTTTTTCCTTCACAGCTTACCAACGATATATGGTATCAAATAATAATTTTTTTCATGCACTACCCATCTTTTTTTTGTTGCTGATTTGATTACTGAGTATACATGTACATTTATATACTGACCCCATCACTCGTCTGTTTTCATGTTTAGATGGGAAACTGACACCACATAATAACATGTAATCCAAAAACGTAAATTAGAATTGCTGACAGCTTTACTAAAGTGGTAAATGTCAGCCCTTTTATTTTGGAGCATTGGATTTCAATACGAACGCAATTTCTCTCAACTTTCCTACATCAATATGAGGGTGTTCTTTTACAACGAGGTACCCCCGGGTGAAACGGTGCTACCCTGAAAGTCACCAACCGTCATTCCGCACCTCAAGGAATAAAGAGTTGCAGAGTTGAGGTTTCCTCACGCATTGACGTCATTTCGCCTCCCTAGAAAACCTTTCCAGAAATGAATTTAAATCATAGGAGTGGATGAGGCCAGTAGAACATTGAGCAATGCAAGATAAAGCCAATAGTAGGGTCACAGTTAGTAATGTTATGGCATAGATAATCCCACACCTGGGATATTGAGGACCAAAATACACTGTCCAATTTAGATTTCATATATGTCAGCAGTATATGGAAATCAAAAGACAAAAGTTAATAGGCTAGCTGACTGGATGAAGCTTGGTCATGTTATTTCTTTTGAAGACAAAGTGAATTTCTGGGAAGGGCCGTGAAAATAAACTATTGTGGGGAACATGACAACTTTTTTAACAAAGCTATATTAAGGTGTTTGCATACTTGTCAGCATAACTCATTTCTCAACAAATCTAGACAATCAAAGTATCCAAGCTGTATAATTCTTATCACATAACATGATATTTTAAATATCTTAATGAGCATTATTGGTTCCATTTTAAGATGCTAAATCATACTAATATCATTGCTGAATTAGAACATGTTAAACAAGCAAAATATAGCTAGCTCTTTATCGATTTTGATATGTTCATTAGCTAGCTATTTATTAATTAATAATCTAATCAGTTATTTATTCATTTATTTATGTATTTGTTTATTAATTATTTTCATTTACTTATTATTGTTATATTCATTCATTTATTTCTGCTTGCCAGACAACTTTTTTCAATCACAGTGAAATGAGAACATATTCAAAAGGCTAAAGTTAGCTATTATCCCACAAGGAATTAACAGACAACTACATTAAAGCTTCACCTAGAGACACCAGTAGCTCTTTAATTTGAGTAAGCCCTCTTTGCTACGTCATCATCAAGGCTGAGGGCAATTCCTAATCTACTGCTGCCTCTAAAGGAGACCTGACGAAAGAAAATATCACCAGATTTGCCTAACTGGATTTATTCTAACCCTGAATAGCAATATTCAACCTCCCTCATCTATACCTTCAAAGTTAATTATGCTGCAGAATTTGTTCTTCTCCTTTCCACAGTTGTTCCTTCATTTTCAATCTACCAGCATGTATTTTTCTCTTTCCTTTTTCATCAGTGGTCTAAACTAGTTTAAACTAGTTTATCTGTTCTGTTGTAATGCTTCTTGCATACTAGAATTTTTGTCATTGCAAGAAATTGTCCCAACCTTTACCTATGACTATAAAAGTGCAAATACAAGTTCCTTATAACAACTTTTTATCTCACATTATCTTTTATTCTGTTATTTAACCCTCCCTCCCTCCCTCCCTCCCTCCCTCCTTCCCTCCCTCCCTCCTTCCCTCCCATTATTCATTTTCTCTAACTCATAAATGGCCCCACATTTTTTTAGTTTCAATTCGTAACACATCTTCAACAATGCAATTGAATATATGACACATGCATGATTTATCAATCCATTAATTTGAAAGTGTGTATCATAAGCCTCCTCATCACACTGTGAAAGTTAACCATGATTCATATCCGTGATATGTATCTAAACACTTCTAACACATCTAGACAAACTAGATATCTCAGGTTGCCATCTCATAGGCAATCCCATGCAGTAGTTCCTGAGAGAAACAGATTTCAGAACTCCTAGATCTTGTGCTCTATGGCATCTGATTAGAATCTCTGCACCTCCTTCCCTCCATAAACCCAGCAATGCAACGCATGTGTTGAGGGACTTCACTTGGACGGACGGTGATCAATACTCATAGGCCCTAGGTATAATATATCCTGTAATCTTGAAAACAGGATATCTGGCCGGAATCTTTTCACGACCTTCTCTCTCCCTTCACTGCATCACAAACTACCCAACGGCTCTAAATTTCTGAAAGGGACTTTGCTAGGAAAGTGACTGACTTATAAAGGTCCCAGATGTATTATAGCTTTAATACAAGACATACATGTAGAACAGGAATCTTAGAATCTGTATCCCCTTCCCCCCCCCCCCCCTCCCCTACCTCAATCCCAACCTCATAAGTACCCCGATGCATTGTTCCTAATTATTGAGTGAATGTCTGAGGATATTGAGAGATACAAAATATAATATTATAAGAATCCCATGCAATCTTCATGCCATGCCACACCCACCCCCTCCCCCTCCCCTGCCCTTTCCCCTCCACTGTTGCCTTTCATTCATAAACAAAGACTTAATTCAATAACTAGACTTTTGCAGTTTTATCAAAAACATATTGAAAAACAACATAGAATACTTATAACGCACATCCAATTTTTGAATATAAATATTGTTGCTAGTAAGGAAAGGATAAACGTATCTCTCTATTTACTTGATGAACAATTATTCAATGACTGAAGTCTACTTTAGGATGCATGATTCCCTACAGTACAGACTGGAAATCTTCTCCAAATAAATCTAAAAGTGTTTTCTTATGGACATGCGAGGGAGCTAGACTCAAAAGCACAGATGGCTACATCAGTTTTGAAGCTGAATGCAGAATACGTTTATGACCGTGCCAATAGTTGTAAAAAAGACAGGGTCATAGCATTTTTTAACCATTATGTTTTAGCTTTCTCTGATCTCCATTTTTGAGTCAGTCCATTGCTCAACTTTTCAACACCTTTATTCTTCTCACTATTTACTCTCTACATGATTTTATTTCTATCTCTCTCTCTCTCTCTCTGTCTTCCCTTCCCTCTCACCCAATTTCTCTCTATATTTTTCGTTCATTCCTTCTCTTGATTTCCATCAATCTCTTATTCTCAATGTTTCTCATTTAACACTTTGACAACTCACTGTGCAGCTTCTTATTTTTACAAATCTGTAAAAATCTTAATGCTTATTTTATAGTTCCCTCTTGAATTAGTTTTTTTTTTAGAACTAAGATTTTTCTTTTGTTAGTATGAAATGCTTACCTTCTTGGTGGTACAATAGGGCTTGTGATAGGACTGATAGCAGGGGAAGGTCTGGGAGAGAAGCGACTTCTTACTGTCAGGGTTACCACACCTTTCTTTACTTGCTGCAATAAGAAATAGATGAATTGTTGCTCAAATGTAGAGATGTACTGGTCAAATTACAAATAGATACCTGCACGATTTAAAGACTTCAATAAGAATTTTCATTAAATAATTTGTTGTGCCACAGGCAGTAGGGCGTAGGCGCATCGTGCCGTTCTACTAAAACGTGGATGTGCATTATTGCATTATTAAGCAAGTTGTAGAGGTGTCTTAGTCGAGTGGTTTAAGCACTTGACTGGTAATGCAAATGGCATGGCACTATTAAATATACTTTGGCAAGACATTTATCTAAGTTTGCCACCCCATACCCAGGAAAGAAATCGGGACCTGGTAAGATGGCTAAAGTCTTTGCGATAAAAATTGCCATATGCCCTCACAGTGACCATAATGGAAGGAATACTCCCTAGGAAGTGGAAATTATGCACACTGTGTGCCTGAGCAGGGTAATAAAAATAACTGTAAAGCACTTAGAGACAGTATTCCAATAAGCGCTTTATAAATCCAGATATATTATTATATCAGCTTTTAACAAATATGTGCTTCTTTGATATGTAACTACTCAAATCGGGTAGTTGCAATCCATTTTAACTTTTTATAATAATAGTCAATAGAGAAATACCACCAACCAGTGGCACAACAAATGTTGAAATGAGTATACCAACAGCTAGCTACTGCTAATCATTTTGAAACCAAGCAGAAAAATATTGTCCTCAATTTTCAGATCCTCGACAAAAGATGGCGCTCTTTAAATAAGATGGTTGAAGAAGTTGCAGTGTCCGAGACAGTACGTTTCTCAGGGCTCTAAAAGTACATTAGATATGACTAGTCCAATATCCATATACATGTACATGTGTAATACACCATAAAAGTACATTAGATATGACTAGTCCAATATCCATATACATGTACATGTGTAATACACCATAAAAGTACATTAGATATGACTAGTCCAATATCCATATACATGTACATGTGTAATACACCATAATAATGATTTGAAAAACTATATGACTCTGACCTATAAACTCTGTTTGCAGAGCTGCCAACCTTGTGCAACCAAAAAAAAAGAATCATGATGGCAAAAAAAAAGGAATTTCACCATTTTAGGGCAGTTGTTTGACGTGCGGTATGTAAAAAAAAAAAAAAAAAAAAAACATATTTTATGAAGAGAAAACGTAATACCATAATTTGGAGAAAAAAACAGAGTAATTCCAGCAAAAACGGAATGGTTGGCAGCTCTGTGTTTGTAAGTTTTGGCAAGATCAAGAGAGCTAAACATGTCTACCTCATGTTAGACTGAGTATGTGGCACGTGTTCTACTTGATCAATTCACCTTGTTTGGATTTAACGAGGATTAAGTAAAGTAGTGTCAGGTCAAAACAAAGTTAGTGTTCCAACAACAGGCTTTATGGGATACTGTTTACCGGTATACCTATAATTAGATCAAGGATGTGTGATTATGACTACTGTATAATACAACCAAAATCAACTCACTCCCGCACAGCAAGATGCTCTAAATGTGCAATGTCATATTTTGAAAGCCTATTTTTGTGGACACTAACTTATATCTATTGTAAAATGATGGACGCAAATACCATTTTTTTACAGCTACAAACAAAATGACATTCATTTAGTGTGTCAAAAGGGATATATGTTTACTTTTATTTGATTTGATTTAAAAAAACATGACTAGAATAATAAAGTGGGGGAAAGGAGGGTTTATCTCTTGGCCTATTCTAAACCAATATCTGACTGGAACAATTGGCATTTTTCTAGTTTTTACTCTCATTCTTCTTTTGTCCTTTCAGGATTAGAGTTCAGGTAAGGTTTCATCAAATTAAAGAGACAAAGGACAGTACATGCGTGACTTAAAGGAGTATTCTGAATTTGATGAACTTACCTTAAATCTATTGATGGCTTGTTTGTGTGTCATCCCATTCAAACTTTCACCATTGACTGACATGATTTCATCACCTGTAGAAAAGAAAGGGGATAATGAAATAAGAGCATATAAATAATGAAACATCAAAGGCTTGCAAAGAAGGGTATCTGAAAGCTCATTCAAAATAAAGGCATACATTAAAATAAACACAGAATTTGAAGGATATATGTAGTTTACCATTTATTGGTTCATCAAGATAAACACATTTTATTAATTTTTGTTAAACAGACTGAATGTATTTATTCATATATTATTCATGGAAATGTGTGTTAAGATCATATATATTATAAGATAGCCATATGCCATTATAGGCCCTGTGGAAGCTTGAGCTACCATCACTAATATATTTAAAATAAACAACATTTCTAATACTGTTTCAGGGTTAGCTCATATACACCTGCTTAGGAATTCTATCACAATTGAACTTTAAAGCATTAATTTCTGTTCCTATAAATAACGTACAATTTTTCAGGTTAAAGCCCCTGTCAATAAGACAGGCTCTGATTACTGCAGAATAGAGGGACAATAGCCTATTTCCTCTGATACAATTTTTGTATAGAAAAGACATGGGCTACATCCGATGACCTCAAACTTCACTTCCAAAAATTCCCTCAGTCCCACCTGCTTGCTATTGTTTGTGTTACACATCACTCAAGGGTATATCCATACTATGCTGTGTCACTTTTATCCTACTACCCCAAATACCTTTCTTGTCTCTGACGTTGACTTAGTGCGGGAACGGAAGGAAATCCTTGTTTTGCATAACTCAATTTTCCCTCTTTTTTATCTATTTTTGTCAGTTTTGTTTCTAAAGGAAACATGGGGTTGTGCTACTCCTGAGATGTTTGAGAGTCAGGGTGATAATGTCATCTGTCAGCACCTGCTTTATGAAGGGACAGGGGATACTAGCTGAAGTGCAGTGGTTGGAGTGCAGTAAGAAAGGTTCAACTTTTGATTAATGGTATGGCTAAGATGCATTTCCATATCTAAACTGCTATAAGAAATTATAACAGAAATGCTACCTTACTCTTACCACTCCCGTTCTATGTTTCCTCTCCCACTCTTTACCATCCCTATCCCTCTTCTCTCCCCTTCCCCCCTCCCCCCCCCCTCTCTCTCTCTCTCTCTCTCTCTCTCTCTCTCTCTCTCTCTCTCTCTCTCATTTCTATTTTCTACATGATGGTAAACAAATGGAACTGTTAACAACCTGATTGCAGATGTATTTAACTATTTTACATGTACATGTAAATGGATCTAATAATTAGAGATGGTAAAAAAGACAAATGTGGAGCAGTTTGGAGATTAGGATGATGTTAACTATAAAAAAATCAAATACAAAATGAGGGGAAAATGTAAAAAGACAGACAGACAGACAGACAGAGAAAACTAAAGTTGTAATATATTACTGCTGGGCTAATTTAAAAAGTTACGATTGACTGTTTATCACCTGCACTCAATAGGAAATTTAGATTAGGCATGAAATCTGCCTAAATTAGATCCTGCTTTGCCTAACAACCGTAGTTCCTCTATAACATACGCTCATAAGTTCCATAGGAAGTGGGTGACAAGATAATGCAATCTTGAGCAACACTAATGCTCTCAGCTTAACCTAACTCGTACAAGCTCACGATACCCTTACCTCTTCATGTCAACATTACAGGGGTAAAAAGCAGGAAACTCATCAATTTGGTTGCATTTTGAGCTAAGGAGAAGAGGGGATGCATCCCTTTTAAGCGGTCAGGAAAAGAGCTCAGTCTAATCTGGTCTCTTCCTAAGGGACTATATTTAGTCCCCTCATGGTCGAGGCCAGGGCATGGATCTGCTAACATGAAGCTTCACGACTAGAGCTGACATTACATTGCAATATTTGTATAGCTATGTATGATCAGGCTGCTTGATTTGATAGCTTATGGAACCAGGAAAAGTAGGATTTCCAACTTTAATGGATAAGTTACCTTCGTCATGTCAAATGGAAGAGAAAGATGGAAGTTGAAAAAATTGATCTACATGTAAGTATCATTCTAAATCCTTATCAACTGGTGAGATTTATGTTTTTAATTGAAATAAATCCCTATCAATATGACAACTTACAGGGTGATATTCAAGCTATAGGATTATATCAAATCTCATCATATAATCATCAAGCAAGATTCTCAGGAGGAAGGGGGTTTCTTGATGTCAAACTTCTGCTTTTTCAGCTTTCAGACCTTTTATGGCAGTTTGAAATCATATTGCTGTTTGGTGTACTTGATGAACAAGTTTCTTAGTGAGAAACTCCCAGTAAATGAACATATGCAAATTAGTAATCAATGCAGATGTAATTTTGGCTGCCTTATTTCCCCACGTCTCATATTTTTGTGAATGAATAATTCAACTCAAACAAAAGCCCTTACTGCTGACCGACACCTCCTAAGTCTGACATGCCCCATCTATATATGGCCATATTCTGTCCGTCTTTCCTAGGGATTTAGGTCACACATGTTCCTGTTTGGCCTACTTGATGAACCAGTTTCCTTGTGAGAAACTTCCGCGGCTTTTGTCTGCTAGGCTTATAATTCACGCCTGGTTGCCATTTTAATGATTATAAAAGACAGCCCATAAGTGATGCTGACAACTTCTGGCAAGTGGTCATGATTACGCACTCTCACAAAACTATCTTATCAAGATCAGCAAAAAACACCAAATCAAAGTGTGCAATTCCCACGATGTTTTGTGATATATTAGGTTAATCAAGTTAATCTGATTTGATGATTAATTTTTTCCCTCAAATGATGAGAAATACTAATGTAATTTGAATTAAACAAAATCCTCAAAAAAGAGTTTAAACAAAATATTTATCTAGATTTATATCATGCTGTGTGCTGGTGGATATATACAAAGCTGTATAGAGATACAGCTTTGTCTTTTCCGTTAATCTTCATAACCCATGGATTTCACAACCACTCAATATTCCTTCTTGGCTGGTTTCTTCTTGGTAGTGGGTCCTTCAAAATACTCCTTGTAGAGTGGGACTTCATAAGAAGAGGTATTGCATCATTTGGAGTAACTAACAAAGAATATAAACCTTTCCTCACTAGAATCGTGGGAGAAGAAAAAAAAATTATCTTTGACTTTGGTATTTCAAATTGATTCTGAAATAGCTACATTCTCAAGAAAATATGATTTTTAAAAAAATAACTGTTGTATGAATGAAATCATTATAAACTATTAATAAATTGTCAATCTGATTCAAATTTTAAGGCAACAATCAACAAGGTTTTTATGAACCTCAAATCCTTTTAGTTCTATAAAGCCACAATACTAGGTTTAGGACTTGCTTTTCGGGATCTTCTCCCTCGCCATTCCCCTTGATTTAATTTGTGTACCTTCTCGTAACCTTCCGTCGGCTGCAGCAGCTCCAGATGTAAAGATAGTTTTGATGAAGATACCCATACGTCCTTTAGGTGAGTCCTCTCCTCCAACGATGCTAAACCCTAGCCCCTTCCCATAGCCACCTTTGATGAGGGAGATCTGCTGCACCACAGAGGGAATGGGCGACCCTCGACCTGGTAGCGGCTCACAGGGAGCTGTCTTCGATTGGACCAGTTGCTAGAGGACAAAATGGAAAAAAAAGGAGAAAATTAAATGTTATATTTATAGCACTGCTCAATTTTGATGAATTAATGATATATGATTTCTGTGCATGATATTGGTATTGAAATATGAAGTAACTTTCTTAAACATATGTTTTACCTCTCACATCTAATAGATACAAAAACATATAAATAGTTTTATACAATAAAATAAAAACAATAAAATGGAGTATACAGGAAGTAAATGGCGTATTAACAGCACATAAAGAAATGAATAGAGCAAAGAGCGACATTATCCCCCCCCCAAAAAAAAAAAGAAGGTAGAAATGAATATTAATACCACTGACTAAAGTTCATACCTTTTTCATACTCTTTTCAAAACCAATGGTTTATTTGAGGGCTAATGAATGAAAAAAGTTATTGTTATCTACAAATGATATCACCTCAGACTTGACACTTCTTTGCGAATAGAACTCATCAATGACCATGGTAACACTACCAGCAAAGAGTCAATCCACGTGGAAAGCTAGTCAAACTACATTAACCCCTCAGGGTGTCTGCAACTCTCACTTCAAGAAGTCAGATTTGCTTCACAGATTCTAATCCTGTCCAATCCTGTGATCTCATCCCCTGATATCCAAGGAGCCTGGTCTAAATGCCAGTTGATATTTCCAGCTCTATATCTAAAGATCACATAATCTGTAATGTTTGAAGAGAAGTAGGTAATACTGAAACAAGCAGACCTCATCTGAAATTAAGTATCTATAGACCCAGATCCTATCTTCCTACAATTCCTGTTTACGTGTGCTCATACCATGAAGACTGTCAGGATTTTAATGCATAACTGCATTAATATTTAAGGTCGCTTGACCTGGCATGATCAAATATTGACATTTTGTTTGAATTAAAATTTGGTGGAACAAACAAAATAGTTCAGATGCTAAAGAAGTACACTTTCATCAAACAAATTGTGGATAATTTTTTTCTTCTGCAATTTACATGTAATACAAAAATATTAAGATATAAAGTGCTTAAAGAGGCTGTTCAGGATCCATTATAAAATCTCCAGAGTGTAATAAAAAAAAGAAACAACCAGATCTCTATTTTTGTCATTCAATGCATCAAGTTCTTATAATTGACACATATTAAAATGGGGCAAGGATTCTTATAAGAATTAGGATACAGTAAACAACCATAATCCATTCTATCAACATGATAGCTATTTCTCTATCACCTTCATGAATATGGGTAGACGGATGGAAATCACTAGAATTAGAGTAAAACATCTAAAGTTTCATATTCTCAAAGCAACATAAACCCTTCAGCTGAAAGATGAGTATACATGGAAGTGGGGTATTGGATTATCAGAAAGCGTTTACACAAAGAAAAATCCCTGCTTTTTACATCCAGGATACGCCAGGTGTGAAGTAGGCTTCTGGAGAGGATGTGTTACCATGGAAACAACATCCACAGAAGACTGCTTAACGTAGCCTTAAGTGAGCAAAGTGAACAAGATATCTTTCTTCACAAACTTCTTTTTTTCTTTCTAAGTGTCCTACTTATTATCCTAAGTTGCGATTGCAATAAATATGAAAAATCTTTAATAATAATAATAATAATCATGTATGAAATGTACAGCATCAGCATGAAACTGTTTCTCGTCTTATGCATCTAGGCAAAAAAGCTTCAAATTTAATATTCAACAATCTTGAAAATTTCCTAGGAAGGGTAGCAATATCTTGTAATATTCCATACATCTTTTTATTTGAATCCACATCATTCTAACAAAAGAAAATATGGAAATATATAATCAAAATATTGATAAGTCTTGCCTATATAGCTTCAAGTGGATGAAACAAAAGTTCTGTGCTGCCCTCATTTGGTGATTTCATGAAAGCTACATCTTGTCTAGTTTGCTGTTGCTTTGAACAGCAGCTGCCCAGAACATGATCTAAGCTTCTGCAGTGGCAATATATTTCCAATCACTTGCCCAGTACATAATACCATGATAATTCATATCTTTGTGCAGGTTTAGGAGGGAGCCTGGTATTATTCACAACCACGGGTGTCTACTTTCATATCTAATCAAGATACTGAATGTCTAATTAAGAAACTGACTTTCAAAATTCAAGAAAATTATCAAACAGCTCAATTTTCCCCTTTCATTTTGTTCTCAGCTTTATTTCATGATAGTTTTCCAGCCCACCTGCTTTAGCTCACTTTTGTACAGACATATAAAACCATATTAGAAATAAAATAAAATTGATCCCCTTATAAAAAATGAAATTATGTAATATACAATAAGTGATTTGCTATTAATGAGTTGAAGATTGCCATTGGTATACATTGATATTCAATGTAAAATACCTACCTGGTATACATGATATCATATCCTAGAACCTCGCCATTGTGGACATGGCACTCAAACTGAGGTTAATTGTGTATTCATAAGAGCTACATAAACGTAGCTTACATCCTTTTCCATTCAGCATTCACGTTTAATGGCTAATGGTTGTTTCCATAAACCCTTTTCATTGTTACCGATTATGATGACATACTTTAACAAAACCATGAACATTCCCTTTTATACAATTAATTACTACTGACCCCAAAAAGCATAGTTGGCAGACATACTGGTCTTTGCAGCTAGAACAAAGTTATACCTTAGCTAGTGAACATCTGGGGTATTTTGAGAAGACAGAGACCAAACAGACAGGCAAACAGATGGAAAGTTATAATTAAGAGCGAGGGGGAGAGAGGGAGGAGAGAGAGAGATGGAGGGGGAGAGAGAGAGAGGTGGAGGGGGGGGGGAGAGAGAGAGGTGGAAGGGGGGAGAGAGAGAGGTGGAGGGGGAGAGAGAGGTGGAGGGGGAGAGAGAGAGGTGGAGGGGGAGAGAGATAGGTGGAGGGGGAGAGAGAGAAGGGTGAAGAGATGAGAGAGGATAGAGGAGAAAGAACACTGCAGATGTCTCTCCAATGAATTTGATAGGACTTAATTATAAGCCTTTTCTTCTGATTAAAAGTAACACATTTCTATTTCAACCAAGCAGGGGCAATCCAGACCAGGAAAAACAAAAGAAACAACATAGTAACCTCAGACAGTAAACAAACCATTTCCAAGTGGATGAAATAACCTTTAGAAGGCAAGCACCTGATATTGTGTATTCTACCAGACATGTAGAAAGTCCAACAGGACAAACTAGGAGGTCTAAGGGGTATACACAGACCACAAGACGGACATATCTAATGACCACAACCCTCCATCTGGACATTACTCATTGGTCATCACCAGATTGTCTCCCTTCAATATCGACCAGATGAGATATAGACAAGGGAATACCCAGTGCTTTCATTATTCAAAGCATTGATGAAATATGGTATTAGGGTGGTGCAGAACAGGCTATAATCGCCAAAAAACTTCCTTTTTCAGACTTCATAGAGCTTTGGATTAGCGTGTCTATGTAGTCTGTAAAAACAGACCTTGATTAGAAGGGTAGGTCAGGCAAGAAGAAACAAAGGTTGAATCATAACTACCATAGAGACACTTACCATAAAATTATTATGCTGATAAAAAAAGACCATAGATTTTTGCTTATTGATTCAGCCTTTAAACTAAACTATATAAAAGAAGTATACCCTCTCATTTAGCTACTCCCTCTTGCCAAATAACCAATATCTAGCTCATTGAGCCTTAAAGCCTTTAAAAGGACCTGTGTGTTACCTCTTCACAAGTATTTAATGACAGGAAAATAAATATCTGTTAATTCTAGCCATTACAAAATACATTTCAGAGTTTCTTTGGGGGTTGTTGATAGACTATCATTTGAATGGTCAGTGATTGATATGGCAAAAGAACTCCGACTAGAGGAAGAGGACCAGAAGGAAATGGCTCAATATTCATAATAGATGGAATCCTATGTCTGGACATGAGTCATAATAATACTACAATCTTTGCACATCTTGTGGCCAGATCTTTCCTTCATACTGACCAATAAACAAAAACCTATAAAAGACTTATTTCCTCAAGAATTTAAATTGACAAATGCTTCCTTTCTTAGTAACCGAAATGGCAAGTTGACCGGATTGAACTCTTTTGAGTGTGTTTTTTTTTTTTGGGGGGGGGGGGAGGGGTATAAGATAACATTAAGCCTCATTCTGATATGATGCTGCAAAATTGCAGCAATTAAAAAAATATATAATTCATTTCTAACCAAGCAAAAATGTACTTTCAAACAACAAACAAATTAAGAAAAAACGTCAGAAAACTAACATTTCAACAAAAAAAATAGGATTGAGAAAAGGATGATTGGTAAATGACTTTGTTGCCTCCATTCCAAACAAAATACAATGCGGTTTGTGTTATAACTTTTGATGAAATCACATTTTCCAGGTAATTTTGTACAACAACTGAAATGTGGAAAAAGGTGAGCATTACCCCCAAAAAGGATATTCAAGAGACCAAATCTAAATTAACCTTTCCTGAAATCATCACTCAGTAGCAGTAGATTCACTTCAAAAGGGCATAAGTCAGCAAGGGAAAGCAAGATATATATTACACTGTTACTATTTGTCTTGTTGCTACAGAAGCAAGCATACCATGAAATGTCAAAGGAGATACTTTGTTTCAATGACCTAAATTGTAACTGAACTCATTTCAGGGTTTCAATGGTTTCTGAACTTTTTTGTTGATAGAACAGGAATTCAAAAATACTGGACAAAGATTGAATTGTACATACATGTATACAATTATGTATAAACCTACTGTAAATTTTGTTCTTTATATGTATGAATTATTTCATCATTCCCTGTCAAGTTCACGAGGGTCCGTCATTCCTAATCTTGAATTAAACATACTTTGATAAGTAAACCAAATAAGATATCAATCAAGAAATATTACTTTCCTCCTTAAAATTAAAGATTTCCAATGACTAATAGAAAAATTAAGGCATATGAAACATAAGAAGAACAAAATTAGATGATAAATTACTTTGATTAGTCACCAAAAAATGCCTAATCTTAAGAATATTAGTCCTTAAATTGATTATGTAATCTGAACAAAAGCACTGTCAATCACAGACTTCCTATATTAATAAGCTCTTCCAAAAGGGACATTAGAGAGAAATTTTAGGAAGACATAATGTGATATGATGCAGTATGACAGGAAGTGCTTTCTGACCAGAGGGATAAATGACCATGCCATCAGTGCATTAATCGCTGCATAATGTCAAAGTATTTTTTAATTCATTTCATAGTCTCCTATTTTGATAGCTCTTGAGGGCAGTATTAAAACCAAGGACATCTTCATGAGTGATACGGGAAATGCGATTAAGTACTCAAATTTCTCTCATCTTTTAGATATTTTCAAAGTCACTCTGTAATATATTCTCTCTTTTGGACGTAAAGTGTGTTTTCTCTCACAAAACATAGCTAATAATCAAGAAGCTGACAAAACAGCCACATAAAAGTGAATAAAAAGACCCCCCCCCAAAAAAAAAAAAAAAATAATAATAAATAAATAAATAAATAAATAAATAAATAAATAAATAAATAAATTTAAAAAAATTAAAATAAAATAAATAAATAAATAAACTAAGAACCAGAAAACGACTATTGAATAGTGTATTGGAGAAGATGATAATGATGACCATGCATTGCATAAGGATTTGAAATTTCACACATACAGTGTATCAAAATACATTAAATGGATTCTCTATACCAACCAAAAGAGAAGAATAAATTGAAGTAAAAGAGGGGGAGATAGGAAAACATGGGAGAGGAAGAAGAAAGAGAGAGAGATAGAAAGAGGAGAGAGAGGGAGAGAATGAGATAAAGAGATACAGAGAGATAGAGGAGAGAGAGAGAGAAAAGAGAAATTAAAATGCAAAAACAGAGAAAATTGAAGCAAAGAAATACGAAAAGAGCAAGAAAACTGACATATATCAGAGGAGAGCAGTAACATTTGGAAGCAGGAGACATGGTACTTTGGATGGAATATTATTATATTAAGACAGGAATAACAAAGGAGAATGACAGGTTCCAAACAGTCTATATTGGAATGACATTTAACAACTTGACATACCCTTGGTGAAGTAGGCGTGCTCTGTGGAGATGAAAATCTCTTCCATATCGACTCATCATAGGTCAATGAACCTTCCTCTTGCCTGAAAACAAACAAACAAACAAGAAAACAAATATATTTAATATGCCGGTTATCCCCATCTTTATTTATATTCTACTTAATTCTATCCGATAGAAAATTGAATTATATAATCATAATAACTGTATACAGACATGGCACATTATAAATGTTCACTATTGTTATTATTATTATACTATCATGTTTGTATTTTCCAATTTCATTTTAATATCAAAATTATCAATTGCTTGTAGTTGCAATAACTTTTGTTTTTAACAAACCATGTCAAATCATATTAAATCAAATGAATATATGAAAATGTGATGTTTTCACCTGAATGCTGCTGTTTTAATGCATAGTTGTCATGTTGTAGGTCAGAAGATATCAAATGAGTATACAAATAGTTATTTACCAAATCATTGCAAAGTTTTTGTAAGTGATTTCTAACTTACTTCTGATACCTAAACAACATACATGAGGATGAGGTCTGCGGAGGATCTATCACAAAAATTACGATCACGTACAACTGACAACATTTTTATGAACTGACAAATCCATCATACATATTAATGTACAAATTTGCTGGGTCAATTCCTTTCATTCCTGATATTCATCACTTGTAATGATTTAATGTTGGGTGTGTGTGCATGAAGCAAAATAAATGTCATAGACTGACAGAATGAATGTTACCTAATGTTGCCAATTTACAGAGCAGTTGGAGGTGTGGTGACATGAGTTAGGCAGGTATGTGTAATATCATCAAACAAGATTATGAATGTTGATTTTAACTTATCCACTTCTACAAATAAGCATGATGTCTGCTGAGAAAAGACAGCATCTATAACATGGATCTATCACAAAAATTATGATGACAACTCATACTATCTCTGCAACAGTCTGTTAACATATATCTTCAAAGTTTTAATAAACTGACAAATCAGTCATACAGATTCACTGGGTCAGGCAACCTTTTCGTTCCTGATATTCATCACTTGTAATTATTTAATTTTGGGTGTGTGTGTGCATGAAGCAAAATAAATGTTATAGAATGACAGAATGAATGTCAGTGAATGAATGTCACCTAATGTTGCCAATTTACAGAGCAGTTGGAGGTGTGGTGACATGAGTTAGGCAGGTATGTGTAATATCATCAAACAAGATTATGAATGTTGATTTTAACTTATCCACTTCTACAAATAAGCATGATGTCTGCTGAGAAAAGACAGCATCTATAACATGGATCTATCACAAAAATTATGATGACAACTCATACTATCTCTGCAACAGTCTGTTAACATATATCTTCAAAGTTTTAATAAACTGACAAATCAGTCATACAGATTCACTGGGTCAGGCAACCTTTTCGTTCCTGATATTCATCACTTGTAATTATTTAATTTTGGGTGTGTGTGTGCATGAAGCAAAATAAATGTTATAGAATGACAGAATGAATGTCAGTGAATGAATGTCACCTAATGTTGCCAATTTACAGAGCAGCTGGAGGTGTGGTAACATGAGTTAGTCAGGTATGTGTAATATCATCAAACATGATTATGAATGTTGATTTAACTTATCCACTTCTAATGATTAATAGGGGGTTGACAAGCTCACTTAATCAATGTTAAGACTCAGGTAACTTAGAGGGAATTTTTAAAAAATATATATATCTATAGAAGACATGAAAATACAACCACCTAAAACTATATGAGACATTCATTTGATTAATGAAAAAAGTGCATGAACGCAAATTAAAAGTCCCAACAATTTCTATATGTAGCAATTCTCTTCTATAGTTACAAATTACTTCTTGCCTATTTCTTTACAGAAGTAATATTAAAAAAAAAATGTTTTATATATCTGGTATCACTGTGGAACATACAGAGCAAAAAACGTGGGTGGTACATCTCCTTTAAAAAACATGAAAGTGTCAGAGTTTGACACGCATTACACTCTGGATAACCCTGCCTGGGCGTACTCACATTGCACAGATAGTCACCACATCAAATAAGTAAAACACATTTCCAGATCCCCTAAATTCACAACATTTGGTTTGGGGGATTGAAGGCAATTAGTGAATGTTATGATTAATCTTGCATATCCTCTTGAATAAGTATGCATGTAACGGAGACAGTCATCTTCTCGAATAATTTGTCACACATGTGGAATTTAGGGATGAAATACATTGGGTGTGTGGGATTGAGCTGTCATAGAAAGTCTTGGCTGATGTTATAATTAGCGAACATGAAGGAAACCAGAAAATTGGGTAACCAAAAAAAAGTTTTTTAGTGCTGGTAATTCATGAAATGTCAATGTTTTTTAAAGCAAAATTTTGACAATTGAATTGAATTTTTGGAAATATATAAACTTCAATACAAGGATCAGTAGCTTGAAGCAAAATAATATTAGAATCAAAATTATAAAAGCTTTAATATACCAAAACTATACCTCTGTAAGATTCATCAAATATGGGGATATGCTTTATTATTTTGGGGGTAGGCAGGCATATCAACTTAAACAATGTGAGGCTTAGAGAAATTTGCCTCTAAATAGCCTCCATTTAATGAAGAAAGGTGACACTGTTAATTTTTATCTAATGGCTTGTTTATAAATATTGCATTGCTCTCACTTGTATTTCAAACATTTAGAAAAATCTAACATGTAAAGATCAAATCATCTTCAACTTAAATATTTTTTTCATTCACGCATATGCAACACACTTGGCATCACTTTCACATCCATAATTGGTATTTTAATGAGGCAAATCAAATAATAAATTAGATCTGTAGTACCATAACTATGTATCTAAAACATTATTTGTAGTCACTTTTTTTTTTACTTTCACTTTTCTTGTGTTGATACATTTTTCAATGATAAAAACTTGTATCAACTTTTACATATAGACTCAAAATGGGATATAGTCATGGAATCTAATTGATATTTTATAGCAGGTGACGCCACATTTCTGCAACATTCTGACACAATGTCTATGCATCATTAGTTAGGTAGTCATGTATAATTACAACATATGCTCGCTATGTTGAATATCATTCATCACAGGTGGTGTATTAGGATCTGGTCAAGGCTAAAAACCAGTCATTACACGATATACAGCATGTCCACACACAAAACAATTTATCCCGAAACTCTAAAACGAAACTAATTGTATAAAGAATCATTGTATAAATTTCAGAGTGTCCACACACAAGAAACGTTGTATAAATAATCATTGTATAAATTCCAGGATGTCCACACACAGAAGAAAGTAATCCTGAGACTCTACAGCGAAATGTCGTATAGGTGCGCAGTTTGCTACTGCGGTCATGAAATGGAAGCGGAAATGAGAGGTCTGGTCTCCTTTCGCTCGAGGTCATGTTAAGCCCCGCCCAGTTAGTTACACTGCACTCCCCCTGTCCACACACAATATTTTCTGTGATTAGGCATGATTAGGCGTGATTCTTTATTGAGTTTCAGTTTGAAACGATGCCCAAACCTGCGTTTCGTTAGACTAGTTTCGTTATACAACGTATCGTTGGTGAGCGTCCACACACACAATTTCATCGTAAAACTATTGCGAAACGGTATCACTATCGCGAAACGGTATAGCTAATCACACCTAATCACGGAAAATGTTGTGTGTGGACAGGGGGATACACTTTGACACTGGAGGCAGTATTCAATGATAACCACATTTTAAAAGAACTCTTGGTGCACATCATATCTGTCATTTTGTTCAAAATCCATTTAAAATATTGAATACTGGTACATTTATAAATGTCATTTATCAATGTACCATATGTGTCTGTCATTTGCAAACCATACAGGGTAGCCAAAAGTAACAAAATGCAGAAATAATCTCTGGGTTAAATATTCCTCACGAGGAGCATATACTTCCCAAGTAGAAAACATATTTAGTTTGGAACATAAGAGGATGGTGGGTTGGGGGGGCGGGGGAGGGGGGTGGGAGCTGCAGCCTGTATTCGGATAGTCAGCACCTCATAATCAGGCAGCTGTATTTTCACATTAGGGCAATCCAGGATAGCTTACACATTGCACACCATACTGAGAGTGAGCATAGCTAGGACCTGGTTCTATGATCACAAACACTGCTAGTCTAAAAAAATCCTACTCTTCACAGCAGATTTTATTTAAATTCCTAGAAAAAAAATTAATCCTACTATTTTCCTTTTTTTCAACTGGTGATGACTTGCTTATTTGTAATCGCTCTTTTCAGAAGAAAAGCATATATTTCCATTTTTTAAAATGATTCACTATCATCCAAGTCATTGTGAGTTGCAAATGTTTTGAAGTTCCAAGCTTTATACACTCAGACAATGATTGTATTCAAATACCTCAGGACTACCAAATATACTGTAATATAAGACAATTCCACTAGAGTTCTTGAAGCCCCTCCTTTAAGATAGTAATACTTTAATCACTCCTTTAACACTCTTGGATGTACAAACAATGCATCAATCAGCAGAATCACAAATACAGGAAGGCTTGTGTCACATAAGCTAGCTACTAAGTCCAAATTTGACTTCCTGTGTTTTCTCAGTTACAAGACAGGGCCTCTCCTTTTTCACTTGCATGCATGCTCTCTGTCTGTCTCTCTAGGTCTGTCCTCATCAGCTTGAGATTGCCAAATAACCCGCTATTTTAACCATCCTGATCGCAAATTATCCAGTTAATTTGTGTCTTCATCAGCCCCAAGTTGCAATTAGCTGGATATTTGGTCGAGATAATTATATCCCAAGATATCTTGGGCTAGTTTGCAAAATATCCCGCTATTTGTCCGGTTGCCTCTTCACCAGCTAATTTCTCGAGCTTGAGTTTCGAGTTTTGAGGTAGAGTCTCGAGCTGATGAAGACGCGGTTTGTAACTTTAGGCTTATTTCCCAAATCGGAAATAGCGGCCTATTTGGCAATCTCGAGCTGATGGAGACATACCTTCTGTCTCTCTGTCTCTCTTTCTGTCTCTCTTTCTATCTCTTTCTCTCTCTCTATCTCTTTTAGGGATTAAAGTATT